CTCGCTGCATCTTAAAAAGGTTTGAAGAAAGTGAAAATATTGTTTTCTAAAGAATGTCAAAAGGTAGGTGTAGCAATCACTTCACAAAAGGAAGATAGCTTGAAAATGCTAACTGGGGGAAAGAACAAAAACAAAACCAGCATGATTTAGTTAACCCTTGCTAGATAGACACAGGGGTTGTTAATTTAAATAACTGAGCAGAGAATAATCCACTTTGGCAATTAGTCAGATGAGCAAACTTTGCAAGGGCAAGAATCAATTGACTGGTAATTCACACTGGAACTGAAAAGAAAAGAAGCACTGGATCTAGTAAGTTATACCCTTCAGCTATTTCAGCCAGAACTACAAGAGTACCCTCTTTCTAGTAATTTTTTTTCTTTTAAATATGTACTTTAGGTACATATTTCAAGAATATATGTACTTCAGTTGTGCCCTCACTGCCACTGTATACAGTCTTTTTAACATCTATGCAGTATTTAGAGATGAGACCTTCATTCACTCTCACGTATTCCCACAAACATGAATTTCCTACCACAAGCAAGGAGCAGCAATCAAAAGCTGCATTGAATGAAGCATACCGTAATGAAGCAACACCATTTTCGAGTAGGTAATAATCACCTTCCTCCCCTCTTGGTACAGTTTGCTGCTCTCTTTGTTGCGGAAATTATTTGCTTATTCTGCAAGACCTGCATAATTTCAGTACTTGGATCTCTGGAATGAAGTTTCTCTCTTAAAGTAACAGACATTCCCTAGCTCTTTTTCACAAGACACATAAGGCAGGTCTTTTTGCTGCTTAAGGTTTTACCTAATCTCACCATTAAAGTTTAGTTTATAAACAGTTTAAGCTTAAAGAATGTTTCCACTAAATGACAGCTCTTTTAAACAGTGACAAAGCTTGTTGAGGGGGTTATCATCTGTCAGAATGATATTAAAATCTCTCAGGTTTTTTCACCTTTAAAGGTGAAAAACTGTTTCTTTATAAAGGAACAATTTCAAGACAATAAGAAAACTCTATGAGTCAAGGTAAAGAAATTCAGAATTGCATGTAATGCTAGACTTGCTTTCAAGCAGCATTGTCTTGCAACCTTTGGCTTACTATTAGTTTCTTTTGAATCTATGATTTTGCTTTGTACCAAAGATTGCCTCTTTCTGCCAGCTAAATAGACAGTATCTTCATAGTGTATTCATTGACCATCCAAAACCAAAGCTGGGATAACTATGCCTTTTTAGTGAGTGCTATTATAACTACCATTCCTAACCCCATCAGCGATCTTGCCTCTGAAGTGCACATGACATGACAATGAAAGCATTCAGCATCTGTTTTCAAAAGATGCTTTTTAGTGGGTTACAAAGCAGGCAGGACAAATGCTGACTGCTTTAAAGGTTTTTTTTTGTTGGTTCTGCATACCTCCCACCCTGTGATTGTTTCTTTTTGTTTCAGATTTCAGAATATTTCTTCTGATCTGAAAGGAAAAAGAATATATATATATTAAATAATATGCACATTGACATTCAGTATCCAATCAGCCCACTCTGATGAGTATACAAGACTCAGTTTCAAAACCTCTGCTCTAAGCTAAGCTGTTCCAGATGTGATAGAGCAAGTACTTCAACAGGGGCTTCCCATATTAGCAGGAAAGAGGCCTAACTCTTAAAATGTAAATATCTGCAATGTTTTCTTAGAAGTGGATTAAATAAACATATTTTGTTTCTACATAAAAGCCTGGTGTTTGGAAAGGTGGTGGACAAAACCCCTGCCAAACCATAGATATACCTACTCCACAGTTTTTTGTTTAATCTGCAGGAAAAAAAAACACCTGAGGAAACCAACAAAAAAGCAAAGCCCAAACAAACACCCACCCTAAGAAAAAAAAGCTTCCCCAATAAACAACAACAAAAAAATAAACACCACCATCTCCAAATCGAAAACAAAGCCAACCAGAACTCTCAAAAACAAACAAACAAAAAAACCAAACAAAAACACCCCAACAAACAAAAAATAAGTAGGAAAAGATGCTGTTAATTTTTCTTTTTGAGAGCATGTATCCCCCAACAAAAATGTGTAGACTGTATCTACAATTTGGTAGTCTTAAGGTGCATCATCCAGAACTTTGCAGGGATGATGTATGTTCAAAGCACTGAAAAAACTCATTGTCAGAGTGGTTCCTTTCAGTCTTACCACCACTGAGTATTAGAACTGATTAACTAACTTTAAAGAGCTGGCACCAGTACTAAGAGACTCAGTAAAGCTCAGATGTCAATCTTCTTTGAATCAAAATCTGTGTTTATAGTTGCAGATGGAGACAAACTAAAATAATGTACTACACGAACAGAATATCACTTCTATGTGTGAGACTTTCTAGAAACCAGGTGGATAGAAAGGAAAAGGTAATTTTTATTCTATTCAGAACAGAGACGTGATTTTTTTTTTTTATATTTTTTATTTTATTTTAAGATTAAATAAAAGCAGATTTCAAAACATCCTGTGGAAAGTAGTTCTACTTGCTCTTGCCAAAGGAAATCTAGTACATGTTACAGCAAATAAACACCACTCTGAAGTTTAAAAGCTTTAGTTTTGGTCTGCAGCTCTGCTCTAGGGCCACATGGAAGGTTTTTTCCTCATCATCTTTCCAACTCAGAGTTCCCACAGCAGCTGAACAAGACTGATTTTCATACCAAGTGTGTCTTTCTTCCACCACTGTCAGAAAGCAAGCGACTCTAGATAACTTACAAGAACTTTCAAGATACAATAGTAGCTCTAACTAAAAGAAGGGAAAATAAATCCAGCAGAGACCCAGACAAGTCAGTTTAATGCTCCAAGGTATTTTAATCAGACACACTCAGGGTTCTTCACCAATAAAAGACTTCTGAATGTTATTCTTCTTTTTGTACCTAGGGAACCTGACTGAAATAGATTAAATAACTTGCAGAAGGACACTCAGAGCCTACGTAATGTCTGATCGGGCTTCTACCTTCTGACTGCTGCTGCTGAGTCTTAACAACTCCCTCTTTCCTCTGCAAAACTGCAGGCTTCAGCAAACAAAGCATTCCTTATAGCTAATTGGTATTACATGGAAACTCAACTGCTCTTATTTACAAAACTACAGATTTATGTCAAGCAAAGCCAATTATGCTTAATGTTTAAACTATTGCAGGTGCTCAATGACATTGTTGCTAGGCAGTAGAAGTGAAATTGCTCTTTTAATGCATCTTGTTCCAACTGGGAGCATGTGTTTTATCATCAGTGCAAACTTAACAGATGGAGATCTTAATCCTCTCCAGCAAGCTTTCTTCACCCTCCCTCACTCAGAATGGTGTCCCATACATTTAGACTTAACTGAGGTGCTCAATAAACTGTCTGGGACAGAGCTTGTATTTTTTGTATGTGCATACATAAATACAGTATAAAACACATGAATACAGTAGAAAATACACATTTAACCCTTAAACACCCCCCCAACCTGTACCAGCAGTAATCAGCAACACAGATGCCTGTTCAAAGTTAGTAATGACCTCTGCTGAGCATAGCCTCTACGCAAGTAGCTATAACCAGAGCCAGTAGACAGCACCAAAGTCAAAACTGCATCAACAGAGTCCTTTATACTAATTTCACTGTGTTCTGGGACAAGATTCAGAAAATCTAGGCAGCACTCAATCAGCAAAACTGAACTGTGATGTTTGTGGTCACTCCTAACCTCACTTGAAGTTTGAAAAACTATAATTCCTTATGGTGAAGACTAAAACATGCGCTTATTTGGTGCAAAGCAACATCAAGGGTGAGCTCAAACACAGGCAATCAAATCCAAACGTTTTTTGTTTCCCATGAAAACTGCCACAGATCAATAAAATGCTGCATAAAAGAAGGTTATTCTAAAATTCTCCAGCTGCTTATTGCATTATTTCATATGCACATACATCTTATTTTTTTATGTCTCCTCATTTTGCTAATGTATTAAACCAGATGTGAAAAAAACAGCTTCTTTCAAAGTTAAGACCAAACTGAAAGAGTCCTTTCAACTAATTTTACTGTGTTCTGGTAAAAAGAAAAAAAATCATTAAGTGTTAAAAGCATCTCCAGCCCAATTATACTCACTAGCTCAAATGTTAGATGTTACTATTTTATACATAGTAGTAGTTACTCTCAAGTGCATTGACAGAGACCACATACCTCTTGTCAGCAGACTCCAGCCAGGATCTTTCAGCTTTTCCACACCAACACAAAGGTCAAGCCAGGTATTCAGGACTTTCTCACTTTATGGAAAGAAACTAGAAATTTCCACAGTTAAAGCTAGGTTTATTGCAATACAAATAGCATTTAGAGAATAATACCTTACAAGCAGATAACTGTCAGGTGGGATTGACAGATCTACTCAAATATGTGGAAATTAGTCTGCCTCCCACTCTCCGGTGCCCTTGGAGACTAGGTCCTTCAGCTTTTCGCTGCCTCTCCCTGTCACAGCCCCAGCACAGCTTATGCAGTCATTTTTGGAGAAAGAGGCTGTCTCTTGCTGGCAGGGCAAGAACCAGGGCAAGGCAAGCAGACCGAAATCATCACTTGTTACAGGGCGAACACAGAGTTGTACGCTCAACTCTTCCATCAAGGCATCACATCCCACATTAGTCAGAAAGCGTATCTTTGACACGGATAACAGTTTCAGATGAACTTGTATGAAGATATATTTACTTCTTCCATCTCCACCAGTGCATCCTTGGATCATATTCTTTTTTACCACTGAGGAATATATTAAAGAAGATCCACAAAAAAAAATTTGCTTCCAGGTGGCTACCTCTGCTTTCTACAATATCTGTTGCCCTGTGGGCAACAGGTCCCTCAGCCACCTTGTAGCTCTTCTGCTGACCCTGGGTCTTCATCTTCACAAGTTATTTCTCATGGGACATATGTCAAATGCTTTACTGAAGTTAAGGCAGATCAACTATGTTTTGTTTAGAAAATGAGTTCTTATTACACAACAACATTAAGAGGGTCTGGCAAATCTACCTTTGATACATCTGTGTGGCATTTTATTCAATATTCCTTTTATCTCATTAATTTAAATATTCTTTTTAAATTAAAACCCCAAACAAAATACAAACAAAACAAAACCCCCAACATTAAATACTAGTGAAATCAAACTAACAGCTCCTGACTGCCTTCCTTTCTACTTCTTAGACGTATTTACTATGTTTTGCTTCCCTTCCTGCAACTCCCAACCCAAACATACAGCATTAAATATGGTTAATGGGGGAGAAATGATTTCCTGTACCAGCTCTTTCATAGTTTCAGCTCACAAACTACCCTGTGTCACTTCAGTGCATTATATTCCTTTAATGTATTTTCTCTTGTGATAGAGCATTGCTCATATCTAGCAAGCGTTCTGGCTTGACTGAGACTTCCAATATAAACATCTTGGTATCATGGTGCTCCTTTAGTTTTGGGGTTCAATATGTTTCTTCAGCACATAGAAACCCCACTTGTATCCTCACTCTTTTTATTAATACCACTTAAAAAAAAAAAGTTAAGTGCTAGATTAGTATAACTTGCAATATTTAAGTGAGCCAATTTGGGGAGTGTTTAACACTGCTTAGTTCTTTAAAGTGGAATGCGTTTTACTAATATTTTTCCCCCTTTTTCCAGCTGCATCTACTTTCCCTAGTCTTTTTTTCCTAATTGTCTTTACCCCCTTCAAGCGGGCTACAGTTAGTAAGTTTGATGTAAATAAATTCTAATATCCAGTTGTTCTATTCACAATTTTCTGCAAGTAATCTTTAGGAATGACACATCTCACTGCGCTTCTGCAAATAAAAGACTAGATACCCCAGCATAAATGTTTCATGACATACTTTATGGACTTAATACCAATATGTACTTTGTAACATATTTTTGGTAGATCTCAAAGCAGTTTTGCAAAGAAGGTTAGTACAGCTCCATCCATTTTACTGACAGGGAAACTAAAGTAAAGAAGCAACTTGCTGGAGGCTGTGTAGGAGATAAGTAGAAAAGACTAGAATATCACAAAAATCTTTTAAAGTATCAACCAAGCAATACCAGACTCCAAAAATATTTTTAAGTTACACTGTCACAAAGTAATTTACTAAACTAACGTGTATCTGAGTTAATTCTGAACCATTACTAAGTACAAATACATGTGGATACCTGTCTATTTCCCTAGAGATATTAAAAGCCTCTATCCATCAACCATGCCAAGCAGTGAGCTCTCTTTGCCCTCAATGTGCATTATAACTGTGCAAGCATTCTACAAAGCCAAATCCCATGATGACTGTTATTTTGTAAACTTAAAAATAACATTATTTTCCTAAGATAATTAATAAATACATTGCCAGTACCACTTTAAGTACGCTAGGTAATTTACCATTAGAAAGCTGCTTGATAGCATAATCAAAATTTAGTCAAACAAGGGTGAAATTTTATTAGGTTTTCTCCATAGGAGGTAAAATGGGAGATCTTTCCAGGACACTACCATAATGCTTGATGCCTTTTCCACCCTTCAAAAGTTTTTCTTCAGGAAGACTTGCTCTGAATTCACTGGTGTATTTCTGATTCAGATTGTTGTATCTGAGGAGGAGGATAGAGAAAGAAAATACTAAAATAATGATCCTTTCTGGTATTAGTTGCACTTATTGTTTATTAGGTAATTTGAAAGTTACAGTGCCTTCTGAGTTCTGAACTTCTAAGCAGCCAAAGAATTGGGTAGTCATATATGTTTTCCTAGAACCTTTCAGAACCTCAGGATGAAATACACCAAATGGGATGCAAGTATCAATAACAGCTGTGCTGTGTCATTTTAACAAATTTAAAAAAGAAACATGCTATTTTCCCCTCAGACAAATTCTAGTGTATTTTTTTTTCTAATTCAGAGTTTTAAAGCCTGATTTCCCCCACCACTAAATCAGTGTTTATCTGAATATCTCTCACCCTTTTTCTACCCTCTGGGAGAATTCTTATCCAGCAGAAAATTAAAGAATTACATTTGATTTGAAAAGACGTATTTCATGTAGGTTTTGATTGCCTTATTGAAAAGTGGCGTACACCCTGATTTTGAAGTGAAATAAAAAATTGAAATACAATTTTAGAAGTCTTTTTTTTATGTCAAAGATTTCCTCAAAAACATGTTATTTTTTCAAAATTGTGTTGCACTCAATAAATTTTATAGCCACTTTTTGACAATCAAGACCTTTTAATTTTCAGCAGTTAATGTCACAATTGAAAATTTCATTTTACAGAAGAATAAAATCCTATTTTACAAGAGGAAGACAAAGTACATACAGGGGAAACATCTCTAGTCATAACTCAGGTCATATGTAAAAGAAGAGAATCAAGAGCTAGCCACGGGAATAAATGGCCACTTGTGTCTTAGGTTGCACTGAAAGATTGACAAGACACTACGGTAATCTTTGCTGCTGCTGCAGTTAGTGCTATTGTAACAGAAAAAGCAGTATTTTTCTCAAGAGTTCTGGAAGTACACTGCCCTTGGAAATCTATTGTTGTCATTATCAAATCCCTACACTTCACCAAGGTTTCTGAAGGATTTCCTTCAGAAATCCCGATGTCTAAGAGAGAATGCCACTCATGCATGACCCTTTCCACTCATGGTGACACAGGTTGTTTCCCTCCCTGTTCTTGACTACGAGTATTACTCATGACCCTGACAATGGGAAATTAACTGTGATTAAACATTCCAGAATACAGGAGGCAGGCCAACTTTCAAACCACCCTAGAGGTAAAAGCGGACTGCAGTTGTGAGTTCCTTGTATTTTATAGGCAATACCCAGGTATAAAACCTAGGCTCTGTAGGTGCCTAGGTGGCATAAAACTGATTCCTGTGTGTGGGCTAACAGAGCAATTCCATTGTCTCCAGTAAAAGTTCCTTTTATCTCATTGTCCAGTGGATTATAAGTAAATATATCAGGGTTATTATGTTGAAACCACTGTATACAGCATTAACCAGTAACAGCCTGCTCTTTTCTTGCAACCCCCTTTGCCTAATGTCCTACACTAAAGGTGCAAGCTTGCCAAGAGAACAATGCTTGCTATATATTGGTACATGATCAAGCTGTCTTGCTGTTGTCAGCTTAACTGCATGCCAACATATTTAAATCCTTCTCTGAAGAACTGGACACTCTTCTTTCTTCAAGACATTTTCTTATTAATAAAACCCCTTAAATACTTAAGGTTGATTACATTTTTTTTACCTTACTACAGAATTGCTACTGTGAAATCTCTCTCCTCAAGGCAGATCAGACATACTGAAGTCTGAATGATAACATATGATCTATCACTACCAATTCTGTTACACATTAGTTTGCAGGTTTTGCAAGAATTTTTATCCATATCTACAAAGGAAACATCAAGCTTTCTTTTTCTCACACATACCTGTGTGCGATGGTCCAGAAACCCAGGGTGTTCACCATCATTAGAGAAGCCAAGAAGAAGAAGAATCTCTCCAATTTACCTTCATGCAGCAAGTGTGGAAACCAGTTGCCTGGCAAAGCAGATGTGAAGTAGAATTAGTTTACCTTGCAGAATCAGACATGGTTCATGTGAAAGACATAAAGATAACTTTGTGTAAGACATAATCACAGCAGGTGCCTTGACCCCCCCCCCCCCCCCCCCATGTAGCTATTTACACAGGCTTCATTCTCACAGCATCTATTTTTTTTTTTTTTAAATACTTTGCTCCTGTTTTGCAGACAGGCAATAGAGATCTAGAGAAACTAAAGAACTTTCATTGAATCTGAAGTGTACTGGAAAACCTAACTCTGCACAGCTGCTTCTGTAATGAGTGGGCTATTTTCCCTCTATATAATCCTGTGCATATAGCTAAATGAATGCCAAATATGAAAATTTTAGGACGAGCTAAAGTGGTCTGTAGAAATCCTTATTCACATCCTTCATGCTTTTCACAGGCCCTTCTAAAGGGTGTGCGTGGAAGGAAACAAACCCAAAAACAAAACTAAAAAAAATGCATAAAGGGCATTTGTTCAGTGCCTTGGATGGTGCTCCATTATCAAGATTCTACCTGACATTTTACTTTACCTTTTTTTACAGCTCCCTTTAGCTGTAAGTCTGCAACGTGTCCTTGTCCAGCACAGAGCATTTAATTGCACAAACCAAACTTTTTTCTACCAAGGCTTATGGCAATAGTGTCTGGGACATTTTGGCAGCTTAAACTCCATTCAGCAGAGGACAGTACCACCTATATACACCCAGTCTTCCCTGCTTCTGTTCTCACAGGCTTTAGTTTGTAAATGTACTGCTTTCAATGTTGTCCATTGCAACCAGTCTGAAAACAAGCTCAGCTGGTGAAATAACTGTGGAAATGAAGATGGTTGAAAAGAACGCCAGCCCAGCCAGTCTGCCTTTGAAGAAAATCAGTACCTGAAGCACCATAATCAACAACAGCAAAAACATAAAACCAAGGTGAAAAAGAAGTTACAGTAGGTACAGAAATTGAGAGAGCTTTACAGTGCTGTAACATCCTTTTACGTTATTTGGGAATACAGAATAATTATTGCTTTGAAGAAGAAAGAGACTGTCTTCATTAGCAAGTAGTGAAGTGTAGTAGGAGCAAATACAGAGCATGAAACAGCTGGTGCTGAGAACGTGATGTGCACACTATACACAGCTCAGGTAGGGGGTCACATCAGATCAGTTCCCACTAACAGCTGGAACACATCAGGCACAAGCATTTTTTTGGTTTAGTTCCATCCTAAAGAATGAAGTTTTTTGTTCTCCAAGATCATTCTGTGATGCAAATCAGAGATCAGGACGTTCAGGTCAAAAAGCACACTCTTGACCTGAACTAAAGCACCAGCATCAATGTAGCCTTTCTTTGCTCCTTAGAAGCCTGGTATCAAATCTTACCCATCTGAACAGAGTGGTTATTCACCTCTTGAACAACCTAAAAGGGAGAGGAAGAAAAACAGCCTTCTTTGCCATTGTTGTGCTTTATAAACTTGATAGCTTTAACTGATCTTTTGGCCACTAATGCCATCTTTAGCTATCCAATGCTATTCTTAGTTTGTTCAAATTTTCTATTTGGAGAGATAGAGCTGCTTCATAGCTCAGGAGAGCCACCAGTCACAGGATTACACACATACCCCTCCCCCCCATATATTTACATTTTTCTCTTTCCTCCACATCTTCTTAGATATGTAAACACATTTCTTTCCAAAGCAGTTAACTTTAACAGTCCCCAGATTAACAGAGGACAGCTGCCATCATCATAGCAGTTTTCCCTAACTCCTCCACAGTTTGCTCCGTGCCAGGTTACCTTTCTGCCTGTCACAGAGCGGCACCACCTCACCTCTGCATGTATGATTCCTTTTGCAGCATTATCTCAGAGCGAATTCTAAACTGTATCATTTAACATTGTCAGTTGACTGAGCTCCTAGGTGCTATAACTTCATTTTAGTAGCTTATAAACTTTTACTGTCATAATTCACAATCAGGCAGTTTTTCATTTCACATCCCCCAGTGGCCAATAGAAGTCACGGGGAGAGTGCGCGTACCTGATGAAAGAGAAAGCATGCAACGGAGTTCAGATCTACAGCTTGTCAAAGCAGAGTTCACACTGTCTGCTAGGTTATTCATGTGTGCTAGGCTAGCTATATGAGCAGCAGGAACTTCCTAACGGAACAGCATTTACAATGGAACCTGAACAAAAATTATGTACTGAAAAACAGTGCTGAGAAATATTAAAAAGAAAAAAAAGGGAAAAAAAGAAGAAAAGTTATCACGTTCTAAGAGAGCAGAGTAAACTGGACCTTTGAAACTGTCTTAGTGCTGTCAAAGCACCGTATTGAAGTGCTGGAAGTCCGAATGTTTGGTTTTAGCAAGGTAGGAGGGCTGCCTGGAGAGCAGATCAGGGTTTAGCCCGCACTTCACCACTAGTCTCCTCCTTGGCTTGCGTCAAAGACCACTGCTCAGTCTCCTCAATTCTTCTTTTAGTAATTGCCAGTATTTAAACAGCAAGGCCAAGATAATGACACAAAACCTTTGGAAAGTCATGTATTATAAATGAGCAGTAGCATAGGCAGGGCCAAAATTAGACTGGGCATGGTAAGACTCCACCTCCTGTAGTGTGTGTGCTCTCTTTCTAGTTTACTGGTCTATCCAAAGCAAGAGGTAGGAGCCTGTCTTTCTCTTCCTTTCAGTAAGGGGCAACAGTGTTTGTCAGGGGGGTCTTTCTCTACAGAGAAACAAGGGTGGGAGCAGTCCTAGAGATATCCAGACTATAATCCTACTGCCAATATGCATTTTCATCAGTGAATACAGCAAAGATTAATGTAACCATTTCCTATTTTCAGCCAAAAATATTTATTTCTCATTTTTGTTTTTCCTCTTCTTTTTAAATGGAATTTGGTTTTCCATGAGAGGGGATAAACCTGGACTACATTTCCTTCTGCTTACGCTCACCGCACCGAGAATCCTCTGCTGGCAGGAAGCCTTGGGAGCGCAGTCATGGCTGTTGAAACATCAATCACGTGTTTCAGGCAGCAAAACTTGCTTTAGGTGCTTTCACCCTTTACCTGACTAACACCTTCCACAAGCTGCCTGCACACTCCAGCACTCTCCACTGACTGTGTTTGGGGTCCATATTTTTAGGATTTTACCCTTAGCCATTAATGTCAGGAACTTATTGGTAATGAGTGTGTTTTTGCTGGAGTACTACTCTGTTTGAAGTGGCCAGCACTTTCTCATCCTTGAATCAGCACACAATATGCTAACAATTCATCTTCCCCCAAAAGACACTGCCTTTGGGTTCTGTCAATCCTTTACTTTTCTATGGAGATTGCCAACAGAAGTGCCAATTACAAGGTTGGTTTGTCACATAGATAATTGCTCACTGGGAATTAACTTTCTACAACAAGCTCCTGATTTCCATTTTTATTCCAACAATGGAAATACTTTGTAGCATGAATCACTGCAGAGAATCATAAGTTTCCTTTAGCTGCGCATATTTTAAAGAGCCTTTTCTTATTGGTTAGAGGTGAATCGGTTATGCATTTTGTGGCAAATTTAGAACAAATTAGAAGATTACGTCTAGGCAGTCAATTCCTCAAGACTGCTATACTGTATGTTGTTGAAATAAAGCGCCTGGAAAACTTTCACTAACATTTTCCAATCCTATCGGTTTTGCTTCAAAAAACCTCAGGTAGTATAAGAAGAGGGAATATTATACAACACCAAGAGAACACACCTGATCCTAAAAACACAAGCAAAAAAGCAGGCAAAGCATGAATTAGGACACAGACAAATACCCACTTTCCTGGGCTGCTTCTTGTGGATGATGACAGTGGCAAACTGCTGGCAATATTAGCCATCACGGAAGAAGTGGAAAAGGCCGTAAGCCAGTCTCTGAGAAATACTAGTGTACAAAAGTGATGTGGTTTAGCAGTGGACTTCGCAGATGTGGAGTAATGGTTGGACTTGATGATCTTAAAGGTCTTTTCTAACTTAATTGCTTCTATGATTCTAAGGCGTCTGCTACTGTTGATGGCTCCCTTGGAGCTCTCAAGGGATTCACAAAAAAGCCCAAAGTTGCACAGGAAGGCGATTTGTTTACTGAACACCTCCACTGTATTTTAGTATTGGGAAAACAGAAGACAAAGCAAACCAGTCACATGCCAGAAATTAGATTCCAATATTTTTAGAGGTATTCTGCAACCTAGACTATGATTATAGAAAAATTTAATTCATAACTTCTGAATGGACTGCATTGCCTTCCATAAGTTCATCAAGTTAGTGCTCATATATTTAGTGCTTAATCATAGCGAAATTAAAGCCTCAGTCTGCCTCTAATCCTTATTAGCTAAATAGGCACCAGTGGACACCACCATCTGGACTGCAAGAAATATCCTCTAGCTTTATCATATTTGGTATTTAGAATCACACAAGGCTCCAAACTAGAGGGAAAAAAAATTAAAATGAAAAAGGCAAAACCAAAAGAAAACCCACAAAACCAACCCCAGTTCTCTGAATACAAGCAGGTAAAGTTGTGTCTGGGGCACTTTCCTTCCTCTGACCTTTTCTTTTGCCCTTGTCTTTCTTACATATTTACATTAATATTTTTAGAGAAATGTATTCTCAAATGATTGGCATAGGAGGACAGGTTTTGTCTTGCATCTTCTTCCATTAAAATGTTAGGAGAAGTAAAAGATCCAAAAGAAAGCAGTTTCCCAGCTTGTACTGAAAATATCACTGTCACCCGTCATCTGTTTGCACTCGTCAGATTTTTTTAAAAAAGTCTTATTTTATCATATTCACACCATCCTCCATAGATGTGTTAAAAATGATTAATGCAGCTTTGACTGTGACTGATATCTGATCAACTTTGCCAATAAAAACCCAAATAAAATTCTAAACTGGTGACATGAAATAGGATATTAAAATGTTTAAATTTTGTCAACACCCTCTGTGCCTCAGCACTTCAAAATACACACTGGAGGATCTACTTCACTGTATCCTGAATTGTTTCATGGAAAAATGTGGTCTCATTGCTTAGAGATGGGAGAACCAGAAATAGTCTTGGCTCAGGTTTTAGTGAAATGAGAACCATGGGACAAGTCAAAAGCACCCATAGCCTAAGAGCTGCACACTGAGCCTTGTTAAACCTTACAAAACCTTACATAAACACAATCATTATCTTTCAGCAAAAGAGAAAGAACTTTTTTTTTTTCAATATAAATATATTAGTTCAGCTTTTTTTGGAGGAGAGAGGAGGGGAAGAAATAATTCTATAAATTGTCCAGGTACCGAGTGCCTTACAAGCTCTTTAAACAGAGTTGGAAAAAAAAAAAAAAAAAAAATCAAATGTAATGAGAGCTTAATTTGTGTCATTTGACTTTAATTTGACCAAATTCTAAGGCAGCTCACAATTTTATTTGCTGAAGCACTGTCATCTTTAGAATGTTCAATAGGTGACCATTAGGTTTTATAAATTAACAAATAGTTATTTTGCTGATCTTAAGCTTTGCATCACAAGCATCAAAGAACACTGTAAGAAGCACAATGGAAGAGTCTGGAAAAGTACAGATGGAAGAAAATAATTTTGGATATAACATTTCCTGTCAAACTAGGAGAAAACCAAAACCAAGCCTAAATGCCCCTTTGGTTTTTGTTATAGTCTATAACCAGCTCCAGAAGTCTGATCCCATGCCTACTTTGATTTACAAGTCAGAGAGACAAAAGTCTAGCTGGGATGAGTAGAGTACTACTTCAAATCTTCAGTCAGAAGTGTTGTAACACAACAGAATGCCAGGTTGGATGGGGCTTTGAGAAACCTGGTATAGTGGAGAGTGTCCCTGCCTACGACAGGGGGGTTGGAACTAGATGATATTTAAGGTCCCTTCCAACCCAAACCATTCTTTGATTCTAAGAAACAGGAATATCTCCATTATTTACAAGCTGTGAATTCCATGAGTTGTGGTCACTTGGAATAATTAATCCCATCCACACAGGGAACAGTGGGAAGGAGATACCCAGTGAGATTCCACTTATTTTTAGAAATAAAATGTGAGAGCCCGATAATATGTTGTTTACATACTAATAGGGAAAATAATCTCTAATGCTTCTAACTAGAGCAACAGAGCAAATATTGAACATTTGTCACTGTATTTTCTCTAAAGTTTTTCAAGGTTTGTAGAAAACTTCTCCTATTTAGGGGCTTATTTGGTTCAATTACAGCACCTTAACCTGACTACACACTGCCACTGAATCCCTTGGAAATCTAAGAGTGATTTTTGCTCAGGACAATGGCACGGCCAATTCCATCTGTTGGAAGAGCAGGCCTGACAAATGAAGCCTTAAGTTATACTTTTTTTTTTCTAAAGCTAAGTAGAGCAGTTTGGCACTCGATTTCATAAAAGGGATAATATTATAGCCAGAAAAAATTTTCAGTTTGCTCAAAAATCTTAAGCAAAAGAGGTTAGAACATGACAACTGCAGTCTGTGGAGAACATGGAGAGTTCAGTCTTTTTGGTCCCAGCCAGGATAAGAATGTGAAGCTTCTGATAAAACAGTATTTCTGGCAAGAAATAAACATTTTCTTTTTGAATCAATTAAATGTTTTCATACAGACTTACAGAAAAAGAATAAATCAGCTTGATTTAAAATTAGACAAAACCCTACCAAATTACAAACCAAATGCAAAAATTTATTTCCTCTATTGCTTTGTATAAAAATAATCTTAAAGGAATAAATTGCACATATAGTAACACAACATAGGCAAAATGTTTTGATGCTGACATTATGGTTAAGTATTTTATAAAAATGCAATTATACCCAAAGTTAAATTGCAGTAAAATATGTCAATTTCAACTTTACCAAAATTAATAATTTCCATACTTTTGAGGAAAGCGGAATCAAAAAAGTCAGCAATGCCGTCTTTCTTGAAGTGTTAGTTTCATTGAACCCCTATTATCCAGTGGAAAAAATAACATCTATTTTACTGGGGGACATTCAAGAAGGTCTGCTCTCCACACTGGATGCCTTGGTATTTAAAAGTTCTTTGTTAGATTCATCTGGGTAAGAATTCCTGGTTTTTACCCATCTCTAGGTGATGTTTTTATACCTCATAATAAAACTGTCTTTGAATTGTCAACTTAAAACCAGCAATGCATGTCAAAGAACCATTCATTTGTTCAGATGTTGCAAGTAGGAACCAAAATTTCTTGTCATGCTTTCAAAAAAAATTCACTTCCCCTTATTTTTTAAATTACACGATTCTTTATGTAGGAAAAAGAAGAACCCAAAACTTAACCATGAGCAGTTACAAAATTCTGCAACCGTGGTAACTGTAATGGTGCCATGCATTAGGGACAGCAGTTGTGCTCCATAAAAGAGCAGCTCTCTGTAGCACAATAACAACGAAGCTTATCAATGGAAAGCATTTTTAGAAGTACTTCTTCAGCAAGAGGAACTATTGCTGAATATGTGAACAATGGGATTCCTGGCCTTCAGTTCAAGAACCTCAGTGCCTTACTTTTTAAATTTACTTATGAAACAAGTCTTTTTTTGTACTGAACAAAGATTCATCAGCAAAAGAAAAAAGACTTTAAGAAACTCTTGGCCTATCTTGAAGTCAGCAATCCAGAAAAAATCTCCAGTTCAGGGTTTAACCTAAATATTCCTCAAAAGGCTGAATGTGAAATAACGCCCTTTTGAAAATAAAAGTTCTCTAGGAATTGTGGTAGCCATCTGCAAAAGGATAAAACCACAATGAGACTGCACTGTCACAGAATCTGGTTCTTCCAGTAGCTGGGCAAAGGGAGAGGTGCAAAGAAAGCAGAAAAGAAGCAGCAGCTCTAGGAGAACAAATTCCACAGACAGCTCTGAAACACTCAACCCAACCTCCTTTCCCCTACGACACTGTGGAACGAAAAGAAAGGCATGTCCTCCACTCTTTGAAGCACTAATCTTGCTCTCATGGCCAGAGGCTTTCACGGAAGCATGGCTAACATGAACGTACTTCTTCATGAACATAAAAAAAGTGCTTCCTAGACAATTTATTTTCTTGCCTTCCAGAACAGAAGTATAGAGATTGGAGGTGAAGGCTTCCTGCAAGATGCCATCCTCTAATTACTCCAACTATCAGAACTAAGATGACTCATTAAAATTGGATGAGTACAGCTGGAAGGCTATTTCCTATCTTAATTCCATCTTAATTGTGAGAGCAAATCAATAAAACTTTGGCATCCCCTTTAATTCTGCTGCCTAATTCTCCAAATCAATAATATTAAGAAAACTGCTCAGAAACACCAGTCATGAGCATATTCTTACCTTGAGAGCCTGCATGGGCTGTCTGAACAAAGAAAGCTCCCATAAAGCAGCCAGCTCCATTAAAGAGAGTTAAAAAATGCATGGAAATCCCTCTCATTCTTTCTGGCACAAGCCAGAATGAAAGTAAGGAACCTTAGAAAAGAAGCAGATACAGAAATAGGTTAAAAAAAACAACAAAACCCCAACAAACAATAGTAAATTACGGTAAAAGATAAAGACAAAAAATCCAAAGTGCCAAAGAACTTTCCATATTTTACAGAGAATGTACTTGCTGCAGAAGGGCAAATATGTTAGTATGTAACCTATTAACAAAGGGTTACCTAAACTGCTTAAGTTGATCTCCATAATAAACCACCTCACATACAACTATCAATATTCCACAAGAATGTAAGGATCTTTCACCCAGACGGTTACTTTCACCTTGTAAAACCTTAGGCAGAGCAAGACAAGAGAAACACCACCACAGTCATCAAGCGTGAAGACAGCAGATGTGATACTTAACTGCAGGACAGCAGGACCTCTTATGCCAGAGCCAATGCAGCATGACCACTAGTAAATGCTTCCCAAATCTAGGGCTCTACCTTAACTTGGACAGCTGCCTGGCTTTAACTTAAAGCTGAACAATGCTGCTCTTCCCCAGAGAGCAACCCACAGAGTTACTGGCAATTTTTTTAAGGTATTGTTCTTCACTTTCTTGCCAGAAGACTAAGCCAGAAGCAGTAACAGCTTTGGTGGCAAGAGGAAGCTGTAGCATTCTGTTGTAGCATGGATGACTATAAATAATCCCACCAGCTGTAATTTGGCTAAACTAGGTTACAGTAAGTCTTTATGATAATTGGAAAAGTTACTCGGAAAGAACAGCTATCAAAACCTCATGTTTCCTAATTTCACACATTCAGCTCTGACCCACGCTTGTTCTCTAACCCCCAGTGTCTCCCAGCCTGCTTTATTTGTTGAGTTTGAATGACCTCCAGCTTGAGAAACTTGTCAGCAGAGGATCCTATTTGGATGCTGAGTTGCCTGAAGCACCTCTAAATACAAATCAAACTTTGCAATCATTATCTTCCATCCTTTTTTAATTTGGATGCCCAAATGAGAGCTTTGGAAACATATTAAAGAAAAAAAAAAATACCATGGGCAGTGGTTTTTGTTTATTCACAATAGGAACCAAAAGCCCAACGGCAAGGGAAAGCAGGTGAGCCTGGGACACCATCTGTAGGTACAACAGTACAGTCTGAAACATGGTACGGTCAGTATCCTAGCTAATTTGAATCACTAAGAGCCTAAAAAGTTTTCAGTTATTCCTCCCTTCTAAAAGCAGGGGTGCAAAACATACATCCTGGTCAAATTCAGCCTGGGTAATTGCATCCTACTTACCTAAATTCCCCCTGCTGTTCCAATTGCGTACTCCATTCCTCGCTTCTCTCACAGTGCTGCTGTGAACTATTAAACAGCTGCTCCATTTCACTCTAGAGACTATTGCATTTCAATCGGTAGGTGAAGTGATCCCCAATATATCCTTTAATTAACAGACCTGATTGTTATGAGACTTCCCATTTCAAAGCGTTTTGAGAGTTTGAGAAGGACTTGGGGGTGCTGGTAGATGAGAAAATGAACACGAGTCGGCTTCAGTGTGCGCTCGCAGCCCAGAAAGCCAACCGTATCCTGGGCCGCATCAAAAGGAGCATGGCCAGCAGGCCGAAGGAGGTGATCCTGCCCCTCTACTCTGCTCTTGTGAGACCTCACCTGGAGTATTGTGTGCAGTTCTGGTGTCTTCAACATAAAAAGGACATGGAACTGTTGGAACAAGTCCAGAGGAGGGCCACGAGGATGATCAGGGGACTGGAGCACCTCCCGTATGAAGACAGGCTGAGGAAGTTGGGGCTGTTCAGCCTAGAGAAGGGAAGGCTGCTTGGAGACCTCATAGCAGCCTTCCAGTACCTGAAGGGGGCCTATAGGGATGCTGGGGAGGGACTCTTCATTAGGGACTGTAGTGACAGGACAAGGGGTAATGGGTTAAAACTTAAACAGGGGAAGTTTAGATTGGATATAAGGAGGAAATTCTTTCCTGTTAGGGTGGTGAGGCACTGGAATGGGTTGCCCAGGGAGGCTGTGAATGCTCCATCCCTGGCAGTGCTCAAGACCAGGTTGGATGAGGCCTTGGGTGATACGATTTACTGTAAGGTGTCCCTGCCCACGGCAGGGGGGTTGGAACTTGATGATCTTAAGGTCCTTTCCAACCCTAACTATTCTATGATTTTATGATTCTATGACTTGTTGATGGGCAGATGATATTCTTGCAGCACTTGATCAAATACTGCGAATCTGTCAATCCTTTGTAGGGCAAAGCAGTTCCAGTGCACTGGATAGCTTGGACACTTGGCAGTGTAATAGCTGCTGTGGCCAGAAGGCTGGCTTCCCTTCAACAACAGTCTCAGGCACTGTGGGGCAAATGTGTGCTAATGTTATCTCACAGGATGGAGGTGGTGGTGGTGGTGGTGTTTTATTTTGTGTGTGTGTGTGTGTGTGTGTGTGCGTGTGCGTGTGTTGGTATTTTTCCCAGAGCTTTTGGTTTTGCTTTTTAAATCATTGGGCTTTAAGAGTAATTTCCTAGTTTAAACCAAGCAAGGGTTACAAATTTAAGTTGTCAGAGGCCTGTAATGTCTAACATTCTAACACTGTGGAGGATAGCAATTATCATTGTTTTTATCTTATTTTCTAAAGACTACCTCAGTGCTAGGGAAACATTAAATGCTGATATTATTCTCAGGGATGCTCCTGCCACCTGAAGAAGATGACTATATAAAACTCCTATCAACAAGATAATATATTGTATAAACACAATTTTAAGTATCAGAGCTCAAATGCAGATGAAGAGTTCAATATGCCAAATCTAGCTCCTCTCACCAAGCATTTTGAAATGAGGTATCTCCTCCCTTCCCTCTGATTACAAGTGTGAACATTTCTGTCTTCAACTTGGATCATATGCTTTCAGGTCAAGTAAATTATTATGATAATTGAATTTGACCTTCTGCATAACAAAGGCAGTAAAATGCCAGGAAAGGTGAAACAACTATTTAAGTGTCTAGGCTGTCATTACCATCCATGGAGATCCACCGAATGGCTCCTGAACAGCAGTTTAGTTCAATCTGAAGTACAAACCTAGGGCTCATCCCAGCAGCCTGAGTACAGATGCCTAGTGATGCCAAAAATGCTGTAGTGCACTAGCCATCCGCATTGGGCTGTCTGATAAGGTGCAAGACCTATGGGAAAACCATGCTCTTCTCCAGCAGCAACTGGAGGCCACAGGCACCTTAAAGAGCTTGCTTGCCTTACATGCATAGCCTAGATACTCCATGACAAATCATGCCAGACACCTACGTATGGGCAAGTAAACAGAGGCCTGCATCCTTATCAGCTACAGCAGTAACCTACTACTTTAGGTACCTACCTTCAGTTTTCTGTATGCAAGTGCCAAAATCAGATTTAGTCCCATTCATCTGGATTCTTGAATCGTACTTCTAACTGCAGCTCTCAGCAAGATGCTTAATCATTATTGAAATGAGAGCTTTTCTTCCTAAGAAATTTTAATCATAATCCTTTAAAAAGATTGAAACCCCCAAAACAAAAAAACAAACCAAAAAGACAAACAAAACCCCCAAACAACGAAACCCAAGCAAAACAAAACCACCCCCACCCCCCCCCCAAGATGAAGCTGTATTTCTTCTCTAAAGGCTAATGCCATCTTCCAGTCATTGGACTTCTGTTGTGTCCCAGTGTGCTAGATTTAAAAAGCCTTATTCTACCAGCAATATTATTCCCATGTTTCTGCGTGGGAAGACTGTAAGCAGGCCACCTCTTAACCTTTTTTTTTTGTAAGCTAAACAGAGAAGGTCACAGTTTTCAGTTACACTTAGCCTGTAACTTAGAAACCAAATTACCTGCCTAGAAACCTGTCTCCGTTAAGTACTTGAGAGCTATCGGATGAAGAGGCATTATGAAAGTGCTAAGTATTTAAAAATAGGGGAAATTACCTTTTTAGTGACAGACCATGACCCACAGCTCTCACTAGTCTTAGAGTGTAAGAATGAAGCCAAGACACTGAAGTTATTTTCTGCTCTTAAATACAAATCTGAACATTTCTTGGGTTCTATGGGAACAATAGACACTCAACTTGCAGAATTAATTGCCTGCAGAGATCAGCTCATCAATTACTTTACCTGTGTCTCTTTAAGTGAACGTTGATTAGATTATTTTTGTAATACTAACTTTTTTTTTTCAAGCTCTGCAAGCTAAAACACTGGTAAGCACTCTGCGTGCTCCTCAGAACAAAATAAGCCTCAGGAATGTCAGTATGGATGTGGAAAGGTAAACTATGGAAAGAAGAGAAGGTTCAGACTCACAATCAAAAGTGTAGCTACATAATTTATGGATAGCAGGCATGAGCTAAGCTCTGCCTGTTCTCTGCAAAACAGGAGTGTTTATCTCTGGCTCCATGCCACAAGCTGAGGCATGATGCTCTGTGCAGGCATGTTCACATGACTCCCAATTAGAGCCCAAACAAGAATCTTGCATCTGCCTACAATATTCTGCAGGTTAGCTTGTCAGTTGAATTGTGTTACCCACCTGCATATGCTCTGTGTCAGTCAAAAACATGTAATAATTCTACTAGCTGGGTCCACAAATGGAAAGAGTTAGGTTAAATTGCTTCACCTTGCTTTGACTGTGGCTTAGGAAGTGTTCATAGACCATAACCACAGCTCAGTTCTCGTGTGTATTTGTTCTGCCTCCAAAAAAAAATCACCACAGAAGACTTTAGGTCAGAAGGGACCTCAGGAGCTCATCTGGTCCAGCCCCCACATGAAGCTGGTTCAGCTTCAAGACCTGTCATGCCTCTGAGCCCAGAGTCCCACCACTCCTATCATCCCCCTGCCAAACAGTAGATTATGCACCCCAGGGATCTGAGTGGGCTGTGTTACCTTCCAGTTAAGCTGGAACAATGGCACTGCTCACTCAAAATTACAGCAAGAAAAATTATGCCACTCTGAAGCAGGTAAAGCACAGATCTACTCATTAAGCCCATGGAAGAGAGCCAGGGATAAAATATCAGATGCCACTAATTATTTTTAGGAAGATGATATAATTCTCTTCAAATCAGAATATTCTTGCTTTAACCTATTAGATTTTACTTACAGGAGGGAGTTACCAAGGCTTCAGCAACTCCAAGGAGGATGTACTGAGGCGCCAAGTGGAAGCAAGGCATGGAGGAGACCAGAAGAACCTCCTCAGAAAGTGTTTGCTCCACCTGAGGGAAATGCTTTCGGTGTATTTCAGAGAAGCCAGCAACCATCACGGAAAGTACAGCAGAAAACTGACCTACAACTGGGTAAAGAGCACAGAAGCGTTCGCCAAGGCTGTAGGTACAGGATCATCATGTATTTAGAGTAAAGCAAAGCATGCAAAAGAACCCTCCCCTTGCTACGCCATCCCACACATCCTCTCTGGTCACATAAACATGGATAAAGTGTACTTGTTACACTGCAAGCCAAACTCTAAATACACAGCAAAGGAGCACAAGGTCAGCACAGAAAGCGTTTACGGATGCAGAATATATGAGAGGAAAAACTTCCCCCCCCTGTAGCCTCATAATGCAAGAGTAAAACTTCCAATAAACTCAGACGTATTTTAAATACACTCACTTCACCATGCATTGCATAGGGGATACTATTTAAATGTATTATTTTATATTCCTGATGTTGACAGTATGAAATGGCTGTAGTCTCTTAGAAAAACACCTATGAAGCAAAGTTTTCAAGTCTTCTGAACTTGAAGCATTTATACTTCTGACATTTTGAGCTCCCACTGGTTTTGACTAAGTTTGCAATTCCTCAGTATTTCTAAACTGCAATGTAAATCCAGGTCTGAGAATCTGGTTTCTTGTGACAGCTTTGGCTCAAATACGCGGGCTGTGTTTTTTCACTTGTCTTACAAAGCCTCTCACTTACAAAGCCTCTCACTTCATGACCAGAAGTTTCTATGCTTATTAGAATTGATTTACACAGTCAAAGGCTTTTGTTTCATATTATTTTTATAACACATATAATCTCTGTGGGTGTCAGGACAGAAAAGGCAGAAAACCCATATAGATAAGTGGCCTTAGCTTTCTTATGTTTTTGCATGTACCAGTGTTTATTCTCTCAGCAGCAAACTCTCATACCCTTCTATCAGCACAGTCTTCCTGCATTTTCACAACTTTAAATACGCTCCTCCCTGCCTAACCAGAGGCTTAGAAGCTAAGGGCCCTTTAGTGCTTAATAAGAACACCAGTGAATTATTGCTTGAAAATTGATGACAGGAGGGAATTCAACAGCACTTTCTAGCCAATGCACCTTATGAAGGCCAGGTATAAAGCCCTCAAGGAGCTTCTTGTAATATACCAAAGCAAGAGTTCTCCCTGTGAAAAATTATGTTAGTACTAAAGAAACCTCAAGCAGCTCAATATTACTACACAGTGCTATATTTTAAGCCATTTTCCTTACTGAAAACCAAAAGATTTCAGAAAAAGTAACCTCTGAATTCCCAACAATTGTAAGCTTTCTTTTAAGATGTTACATGGCAGAGGAAGAAACTGAGAGCCTTGGAGACCTGGTTTCCCTCCTACCTCTTCTCCCTTCAGTCCTCTTTAAAACAAGCAGTTTTGAATGACCATCTGAGGCTTTGCTTTTATAGGAGAACAAGGTTTCTTAGTAACACTTGGGGCTGTTTCTAGGAAAAGGTTGTTTATATTATCTAGAGACTAAGGTTGTTTTGGACCTTTATGACTCCTGATCTCATATCCTGATTAAAACAGGTCAAAAAGCTTCCTGAAATGAATACTATTCTAACTAGATCATCTTTAGGGAGAAATAATCATCATCAACTCCCAAATCACCTCAAACAAACACTGGGCTGGAGGCTTGCTTTTGTTTACTGTGTGGAGAGCTATTCTCCACATCACTCTTGGATGGAGTAAATACAAGACTAATAAGACATTTCAGTATCATCAAGCATTAAGAATATTAGAGCAAGAACTTCTATAGCCCAGGTACTTCAGCTAGAGCCTCTGGTCTTCAGCTGATGGACAACTATCCAGCAGACACACTCCTTCAGTTCTCTGCTGAATCTTTTATACCGTTGACTAAAGCATAAAATGCATATAAAAAATTACCCAAACAACCACCACCACAAAACCAAACCAAACAACCCACAACAAAAAACACAAACCAAAACACAAAACCTCCACAAACAGCTATGAAACTGGAAAACCTCTAAAACTCTATCAAATATTCAATGTTTTTCATAAAGAGGTCCAGATACTCAATATATTTGTGACACAACCTAAATTCACATTAAGATTTGCATGTTTTTTTAGATCATATCTATTTTACAAATAAACCAACTATAGAAATAGTAACAGATTACAGTTTTCATGTAGAACCTTATTATACAGCAATCAGATATTTCAGTTCAACATTGCCTGTATGGGTCACCTTTGGAAAACTGTTTTTCTTAACATGTTGAAGATTTAAAAAAAAATATTTAAATTTCTTTTACAAGACTTGTATTAAAAATATAGTTATAGGCTGGCTTAACACCAACAGCTTATTTATACTTCCAATTTTGTTCCTGAAAATAATTGTGAACCTAATTAACTGTTGGCAAAAATACTTGCACTTAGAGGTCTACCATATTTGCAGGTGCAGTCATATACTTGGCTATCTCAAGCCATCGCCTGTACTCACAGGTATTTTTATGCCTCAGGTAATTTATCACCCCTAACAGGAGGCTATTTTAATAAATGAAGCTATTAAGAATTAACCACTGCATATATTCTACTGCTGTTCAACATAACAGGACAGAACATTAATACTAACTTGAAACTTCCATGGTTTTAAGGAAAGTTATTATCTGAGTGTGGTTTTTTTCTGTGTTTTAATGCAGATGTTATTTTAAAAACTGGGGTAATTGCAACCTGCTGTGTTATAGGCATCTGGTTTGTATAAAACTTAATAACACTTTTAATTAGGCTAATTTAGTCAGATTAATACCTCTGTGTGTGTCAGTACTCACTGTGCTGCTTGCCATGGGGCTCTGAATTAATAGTAGCACACTGAGAAAATAGTCGTTTATAAATATTTTTGTCTGAGGTTTGTAATGCAGGCTGGAAGATTAAAAAAAATGTAGGAAGCTTAATGAGAGTATCTATGAAACAGAAATTTTTAAGCAAATACAGAATAGAAGCTGCTTTTCTGGTGGTATTAAATGTAGCTGATATTAAAAGAGGGTTTCAGAAGATCCCTCTAGATCCTAGAATGCAAGAGGTTTGGCGGATAACAAATAAATGAATAAGTAAAACACATCAGTGTCAATGGAAGGCAGCTGAACCCCTAATAAAGCCATCATCACCTTTAGGCTATGAATTTCTTGGAAATGGGTGCTAATCTGCAAGCCTGAGTATACAACATTTACTGTTGAAAACAGAACTCGGCAGAGAAGAATGTTGTACCTCTTTTGTGAGAAAGAGATAATACTACACATCTGGAGATCCATCTTTACTTGAAGCGAGTGTACAATAAGGTATGTTTCAGTTTATGATTTTAATAAATAAAATTACTAACCACCCAATTATTCCATCCTAGATATTCAAATGAAAATTCTAGTGCTGGAGAGGAAAGTTGTACCTCTCCAAGTAACCTTTCACCTGTGAAATGTTCAGCCTTCTCAATACGAACAACAGTCCAGTGATATATACCCATTTGTTTTACATAGTTTTCTTCATTTTTTCTTTTGCTCACTAGTTCTAAACACCTCTTGTAGACACAGAATTAGAGTAGATACTTTAATTTCATTTGTGATACAACCACAGAGTCTTGAATAAACTGTATTGGTGACAGTACTGTTTCTCTCTTATGAGTTGCAGTCCCAACATTGATACAGTTATAACATAAAAACACCAGAAAAACAAAGCCTTTGTTCACAATTTTGGTCAATGAACATTTCTCCAGTATCAGAAAGCAACTAACTGAAGGACTCTTTTATTCCTAAGACTTTAAAAGTAAATTCACTTTCCAAAAGTTAATGGCTAAACTTGGAAGATAACCAAGTAAGAGTAAGTCTCAGGCCTACATGGTTAGTACCATTTTTTTCACCAGCTCCTTAGGATGCGTCCTATTTATTTGGGAATGTCTCTCAAAATTTTTTATAGGTCAGAAGAGACTCAGTCTCTGTCCTGCACAAAACCTATGCATTTTTTATTGATATCTAGCAGATTTTTTTTCAGGACCATCTTTTCAGCAATTCCTTTGACACATATTCACCCTTAAGCATCATCCCAAAACAAGTTCATCTTAACATCTATAGTCAGAAATATTTGTATAGGACCATCATCAGTTACTAAAGTTTCTCTTTCAAAAACAGAATACCTATTAAAACTGTATAAACACATGTCTTTTTCACATACCAATGTAAATTGTTGGAGAATGTCCAGTGTCCTTGGAACTAAAGAGATTTGAATTAATGCATTCCAAAATAGGAACAAGAATCAGTAGTGGCACAATGCTTATCACATTCATTGCTGCAACTGGCAAGACAAATCCACTGAAGTGTAAGTTAGAATTCATGGTTTGGAGATAATATCCTGAGGGAATCTGTATTGAAGAATAAAACCCAGTTCCATTAGCATACCAGGTACGTTTCATGGGTAAGATTTTTACTATACTTGGAAACTTCTCCAACTTTTTTCCTTCTGAAGAAGTCACAGTAAATCAAATACCTTCTGGCTAAAAGGAAAGGCCATTCATGGTAAAAGACTTTTAGTGACATTCTTGTTCACTCCCAGAACATATGATTTTGTAGAATATTATTGCCTTATAGCTGTCTGAAAATTAATGTATAGTTAGTAATTGAGCTCATGTAGGGCTTCCTCAGAGATGGTTATAGTCAACCCTACTCACTGTAAGTCTGTTCAGTGCCAAAGAATTACTCAAATGTTAGCTCTTAATAAAAATACTTTTCACCTACATTCCACCTCTGAAAGAAGATACAAATTTTAAAAGGGTGAATAAATGGCAACAGAACATGAAAGATCAGAATTGAGCCAAATTTTGTTGGTTCCTTCTGCCTTTCCACTGCCTACTGCAAATCAGAACTGACTTATTAATAAGAATTAAAATATCATCAACATGAATCACAGGCACTGAAAGCTGTTAACTTAATAATATGGAGAAAATACTATTAATCTTTAAAAAGAAGATACTGATCTATCGCCTAGTCTAAGAGTGAGCCTTAAACTTACTGGAAATTCTGCCAAAGAAATAAAAGTAATCTCTTTCAGCAGTGCAAATACTTTTATCTTTTCTAGATATATAGCTGGTTATTACAACCCCGATTAATGGTATCTGGTTCATTTCCATCTAAGTGATTAATGCATATGCCTTGGCCATATATGTGTGCTTGTTGGTTTGGGTTTTGCATTTTTTTTTTTTTTGTTTACTTGGGATTTTTGTGCTTTTGGGGAGGATCAGGGAGGAAAGTGGAGAAAGAATGAAGTAGACGGATGGGAATGTAGGCTGATGGCAAGATGGACTGTCAACAAAACAGTATATGCTACATATTTTTAAGAATTTCCTTAAGCAGCATTTTAAAACAAATAAGTAAAAATAAATTTCTGAGCTAACTCAGAAATTTGTTATTCCAGTTGCCAAAAGGTAACCTCAAACTCCTGGTTAGCCAGCATCATCCAGACAAAAAAAAAAAAAAAGAATAATCTGAAGGATTCTTAAGTGTCATCTTAAGTAGCTTTCTGACACATTTATATTTCTATAACATGTATCCACTCAGAAGTGGCAAGAATCACATAGGTTGTTCCACTAGTAAAGCAACAGTTTAAAATACATTCCTAGATATATAGTAGTAAACATGTCACAGTACATTTCAAGGTTTTAGTTTAGAAGCTGCGTACCTACCTGCATTATACACATTCTGTATAGAATCTGGAAAGTAAACAATGGGAAGAGCCTGGTGAGTGACTTTGTGCTTTCCACCTGAGTCTCACTGTACTGACCACCATAGTTTTCCTTGGCATGATCTAGCCAGTTTGTCACGCCTCCACTAAAGTAGCGGTATCGCACGTAGGACATTTTCAGTGCACTAACAATTACCCCAAAAGTTGTCAGCAGGGAACTGTCTGCAAATAATCAAACACATTACATATCAGAATGTTTTTACTTGCAGATAAAATCAACCAGACAAAACACTGGGAGGGAAAATACAACCTGATATATTCACTTTTATGTCTTTTTGGGGAGGGGGAAAGCAATAAAAGACTGGATCTGTTCCAAAACATTCTTCTTTGGAAGACGGTTCACAACCCAACTGTACATAAGCAATCTAGCCCAGAATCCACAGAACAAAATGCCTTTTGTTACTAGTTATTTAACGCAGCACAACAGTCTGTTGCTGTGCTTGAGCAGGTAAGTATTGATTTGCTTAGTTTTGTGACTGAATGAGGTTAGTTTTCAATTCAAGACAGTACTGAAGTACTGCATATCTGCTAAAGTGCAACAGCAAGGGAAGGGGTAGTAGTCAAGTGAAAAGGAAAAGTTGCTCAAAAGAGGGCTGATGGGATAAGAGAACTTTCATGGATGCATTTCAAAGCCAGAAATACTATCTCAGGACTTCCGAGTATCATGCTGCAGCAGATACCAATCTAGCATTTGGCATATTAAAACCTGCTCACTGGTTACTGGGTTCAGGAATTGCTAACTTGGTTCTCTGACTCAGAGGAAATAGAAGTAAAATGAGGATAAAACCATTAGCTTCAGGCTTGGGAATGCAGATTCATTTACCTTTGGTAAGTTGCCATCCATGCAAATAAGGATTACAGCACTTCTCTGCTTTTCTGAGTGTTGAAGCACTACAACAACTTGCATATCTATAAATAAATGCTTTCCAAAAAACTAAGGTGAACTGAGACTGCAGAGTGAAAATGTCCCCCTGCTATCTCTATGGAAATGATTTTCTGGAAATATCCATTGACACCTATTGGAAAGACTTCATCTAAGGCATTTATTAGATAACCTAGCATTTAAAACTCTCTGGCTGTTTAGCATTAACCTGTAGACTATTTGCACTATTGAACAGAATCTGAAATAGTATATCAAAGCTTGCAAACACAGACAGTTGGTACAGTTTTTATTGTTCTGCATGACTGTACTGGACAGCTGTTATCACTTATTGTAAGTGATGTTTAAGTTTAGGATCTAGATTATTTCAAGGCCAAATCTGATGACCAAAAGAAAACTCTGCAGACTTCCAGAGTTACTTGGCTAAGAAGCAAATCAGAAAACAAGTGGGATTTGGGGTTCTCGTCAAAGCAGAGTTATTTTCAGAAGTAAAAAAAAAAAAAAGTAGCAGAAAAGCCAGCATTAGCTCAGCTCATTGGTAGAACTAGTAATTACATGGCTTGGGTCAGAGGAGTGATAATCTTTTGCTCTGCAGTACACTAGAGGCTGGACATTCACAAGGAAGAAATGAAAAGCAGTAATGGGACAATTCTCCTCTACGAGGGTTTGAACACAGCGTGGAAATCAGGAGATGCACAGAGCACCATATCACAGACAGCGCAGCAAAGCAGCAACATGGCTGTGCCCTGGTTTATCTGACCTAGACTCAATGATGGTCATGGCCATCTCTTTCCTTTGGAATGGAAGACGATGAGCAGACTCTTCTTTCTTACTCTCACTTAAAAAAAAATACTAAACTAGGCAAAAAAATCCTGACAGTTCCCTGCCTTTCCTAATGGATCAGCTGAGGCCCTCTTTAATGTAATTTCAGTCAACTACTAAGGAAACATTATTTTGTAGGTGGCAAAATAGACAAATAGATTATTTGTCTCATGTTTCCCAGCATGGAATTACAGCAGATTATAAAAAATCTAAGTTCTAGTTTCTAGAAGATAAAGCTGCTTGAAGTTTCAGGTCAAAAAGCAACTTGAAACTTGACTGATACATAGGCCTAACAGATATCAAAAGGATTTTGACAATGATGTAGTTAAAACAAGTATCCGATCCTTTCTTTAAAAGGGAATAAGTAAACCCCACATAGCTCCATATTGGTGAATTTTTCAGGATACAAAATGGATCAGCTAGTAAGAGACATGTTTACAAGTACATTTGTATCACTGCACTTTGTGTAGATCAACATCATAAACTTTATAGTTCCAATATTTTCTTAAAAAAAAAATTAAAAATCCATCTGTATAGATGTTAAATTGTAACTTTCAGAAAGTGATTTTCCTTTTTCTTTATACTTCAGCCCTTGGCTCTAATGTTCTGCTACTTTGACCTTGATCTAATCATGAATATCTATGCTCCTTAATTACAATAAAAAGCCTACATTGCACCCTAGATGGTAGATATGCATTTTTTTCCCTCATCTCTGGTCACCTGCCAGTCCTCAAAATTATAGCAGTGGAAAGAAATGCAAATGAAGTCCACGCTTGACAGCTAAACATAATTGAATGTATGATCTGAACTATTTGAAGAGTTACTTTAAAATAAAAAAAGGTAGCTTATATAAAAATAATTTAAGGTTACCTATAGATTTGAATTACAGTTTTGAAGAATTTCCAATTTCATAATCACACTGAAAGGTATAAAATATATTGTCTTTTATTTTGACTATGGAGATAAGCTTTTCAGATATTAGTACAGAGATTAGCATTCTGCAAAGACTTGCAAAATACATGATAAATCAACAGTCATTGGGAAAAGCACTTGATACAAAAAAAAAAATCTTCCAGCTTTGTTGATGGCTAAGGTAGACATGATCTACAAATTTATGTTATTTCACTTAGCAGAATTAAACTAGTTAGATGATAAACTTCAGATTTAGTCCATATGAAATAGTCCAGCTCAGGGACTGATATTAACAAGTCTTTTTACCTACTCATGTTGTAAAACTTGTAGTGAGTCCCAGCGAGCCAGCCAGCCACCATTCTCTCCATAAGAAGCTAGTTAATTTGAAGTTAAGTCTTTGCAGACCTCAGCTGCATATCATCAAGAGGTTTTGGGGACACTGTAGAGGAAATGCATTTCTTTGGCTCTATTTGTTTCGAATAAACCTCTCTAGTGATGTAATCACTATGATATTCCCAGGCACTTGATTTATGTGTTCATTCCCTCACTGCTAATTTTTTTTTTTTTTTTGCTAAGGATATATTTATAATAAAAATACTGAAATAACAAGTTGCATTAAGTTTCTGGCTTCTACTGTAAGAAGCATAGCAAGGTTTGGGTATTTACAGCCTTACTCAAGTCACCTAGGCTGCACTTACATTCCCATGCTTGGTCAATGGAGACAGGTAGCAGGCAGCAAAGAGTTTTGGAGAGCTCAGGCACTAACTGGTGAGTTCACAAGAATTTCCGTTTTAAAATACATACACTGCACAGGAGCTATTTAGAGCTATTCAGTGTTTCTAGTTATTTTCTAATGTATAAAAACTCAATGTATAAGCAAGCAGATCAAAATAATGGTATGCATCAGATGTTCTGCAAGATAAAGGCATTATAAAACTACATTGCTACTATTGCTTATTCCTGTTTAGCTGACTAACCACACTACTTGGGTGCCCAGATGCAAGTTCAGCTGAAGCAATGGAACACAGCTAAGGGAGAAAACACAGTATGCTTGGCACCTTAGCATAGGTGCAAACTCTGCTTTGGCATTGGGCATAGGTTGAACCACACATGACAAAATAAAGTCTACCAGCAGTTTGCATATTATTCCTCTTCCTGCATAGGCAAATGCTTTGACATGACAGAAAACATACAAAAGTTTACCAGACTGTTTTCCACTTTTGTGAGCCTATCCAGCTTATCCAAGTCTATCTTCACAGAGCATGGATGTTCTCTTACACACAGACTCTGTAGAGCTTAAACCCAAGTATCTCCAACCAACAGAGCAGTGTTGTGCTAAAACTTGTTTAGATATGCAAGTTGATCTCTAAAGGTATTTCCTAAGATATATTTGCCTCTTACCTGTTTTGGGTTTGTAAATCATTTCACCCCGCACCATGTGAATTGTGATTATAGCCATAAGCATGGACACAAATGGGATAAGAAAACCAAGGTTTCTGGCCACAGACTGCTGGATATAAGAAATGCTGACAAAGACAACTGCTGAATTTAAATTAACCAGCCAATAAAACCTAGTACACACAGACGAGAGAGAAGAGTAGAGAGGATGAGTAATACAAGGCCTTTACAGAAGATTAAAACATTACATTAAAGGCATGGTAAGTATAGCAAGCACAGACACTGTGAGTACCATGAACACATTGACACAACAATTAACATCAAATTTTACTTGCATGTCTCAGCTCCAAGAGGCATATTATTAAGTAACTGTATTCAGGCAGTAAAGCTGAACAAATTATCAGTCTAGTACTGCAAATATTCTTGTAGCTCAGACTAATGAAATACATCAACATTTACCATTTACACATTTAACACCTGCATTTTTTTGCTTCAGATTCAACTGGCTTGCAGACTTAACTTTTGAAACTTTAAGTTAAGAATTTTAACTTTGAATAAACTTTCACCTTCCAAGTTGGCTTCAAAGATGTCTATTGGGTTTGCATGGTGCAGTTTATGGTAGTGGGGGGGCTACGGATTAGCAAAAATGGTTTCATTTAAAAGTGAAATACACACTGATACATATACAGCTTAAAATGTACTGCTGAAGTACTGCTGAATGTACACTGAGAAGCAAAGCTTGTTTTCTTGTCTGATGTAACTTCTGCCTCACATATGCTATTTGGACTCAAGTATTTATGTCTCCTAATTCATCTAGAATTTCCTTCTCAACAATAAAAGAAAAAACTTTAACACGTTGTAACAGACCAGCTAACCCTCAACAACCCAAGCCCCAAGCTCTCCAGATTGATCCCTCCTTAACTCCAAACGAGTGGGTAGGGCAGGAGCTAAGTATCAGCTACAATTGCCAGCTCCCTGGATCAGCAATCCCAGCAAAGTGTTTTGAGATGAAAATCCTGAGAGGGGGATTGCAAGTCTCTCTTGACACTCAAGAGACTTCCTCAACCACATTTTATTAAATTAAAAGTATTTCTAGGTGGTCTGCCATAATTGCCAAGACAAACTATAGTCATATCATAAGCTACAGTATTGAACTACTGCTATACTCCTTCCACATGTTCTGACATTGCCTATTACAACACATCTAGCTAGTGCCAAGAGAGAAAAACTTTTATGATGACAGAAGTACAGACCTTGGTAATGCTTCTCAGGTCTGTTCAGTTACAAAGATAACACTCTTTCACCCTGCTAAGGGATGGGAGATGACAGGGCTGTGCAGAAGTAGGCATGGGAACGTGCTTATGCTGCTTGCTTCACAGGACCCAGGGCAAGCGACAGAAGAAAAAGGATTACTCCATCAGGGCAAAGTCAGTGGTGCCAAGAGCCATGCAGCAGTAGCAATCTTGGAAACAGCAAGGACATGCACAGCAGTGAGCTCTCCTGCTTCACACATTTCTCTGAAGTCACACCAAGACATGTCTGAATTTCCAGACCAATTACTGTTTCCTTTAAGTAACTTACATTTTCAGGAGATAATACTCATCAGAATCATGGACTTTTCCTCTCCACTGAAAGCAGCCTCCAGGCACTTTGGAATTACGCTACTAAGTGACGATGTTATGGTTGAAAGGGTTTTGTACATAGGTGTGTTGACCTCCGTTCAGCTAAAGTTTTGAAACAATTCCTAACAGACAATTTTAAAGGTAGAAGTTAAAGTGTCTGTTTTCCAAATTTCTAAAGAAGTGTGGCTGAGCTACCTGAAGCCCTGATGCTCTTCATGACTCTATGATTGTTTCAGTGGAAGAAGGAACTTCCAAAGAAAACCCTTAAGTACAGGAGAGAACTTTTGCTTTTCACTGCCATAAAACAAAGTACTGAAATGTATGGCTCCTGTCTTCTTACAGAAATGGGGATAGAAACCACCACCATGTTTGAGCAATCCCTATGGACCAAAGAAGAAAGATAAACTAACTGCAATACACCCATAAGAATTTGGGGATTTGGTCATATTGTACTGATGGCAGCAGATCAGAACCTACAAAACAGATCAGAAACACATGTTGCTAGCTCTCATACACCACTGCTATTTAATATTGCAGTATTTGGATGTGCTTTATGTAAAGTGCCTCAGAGATCCTAGTAGGGCACAGGTGAATTAAATAATCAAACTGACTATCATGTCCAACTTTGCAGGGAAAAGCTCCTTCCTGGAAGATCAGCATCCTGAGGCCTCTGCATCATAGAAACAGCTAGGTTGGAAAAGTCCTACAAATGCCAATGTGAGAGGTTCATTTCAAGAATGAAGTCCAGATACAAACCTAAATACTATCGTGACATGCCCATAAATCCCTATTAATTTTATTATAACATTTTATAGAAATGTATTCATTATGATATCTCAAGAAGTAACATCGAGGTGATGACATAAAGCATTGTTTAGGTTTGAGTAAAAAATTTTGAATACTGTATAACGCAACACTTGAAATGGACCTGTTGAATGAAACAACCTGAGATCAAGTAAAATATATTAAAAATATTTTAAAACTGATCTTTTGTCACTTTTAGGATTATTTTTGAGACTCAGTAGATTTCCTGTCACTTGAAATATTTGCTTTTATTTTTTAAGCACGCCTAGCTCTCACAATTTAAATTTTGATTTATACAAACTCAGGCCAGGATATTCCATGTATGGACCAGTATTCAAGCTAAATCACAGCTTTGTAGAAGAGGATAAATTGTTTCAGAATCACTAAAACACAGAGTACACTGCAAAGACAAAGTGGGAATAAAAAGCCCCAAAGGGATAAAAACACATTTTTAAAAGTCCAGGTAAAGTGTGTCCAGGATAACAGTGGAAACTGGAGTATGTGGAAAGACAGATTATTTAGAAGGGAAGGGAGAAGAAAGATATTACTGGTCCTTATGTTCTCTGCATTTTGTTGGTTTTCTTTTTATACATCAGATCAATAAGCCAACACTGAAAACTCTCTTTCCTCATCTGGGTTGTACTGTTTGCTCCCATTCTCTGCTTTCATAGACAGAATTTACTTTTCCTACTGCAAAAATAGTACCTGTTCATAACCTTAACATTAGAAAAACAATAATCCTTAAGGAAACAATCCAGCAGAATCCAAGTCCCTTCTTCACTTAGCATTGGTATATTCTGTCTATTTAAAAGGTCAGAGACATAGTTCATTCAAGGGGTTAGAAACAGGCCTTAGGTGTGCAAAGCAACCTTCTTCAAGGACTCAATTAGACAACAGGTAATTACAGGGCCTTTTAACCCAATCTTTACTCTTATAATTCTGATGTAAACAGAACTTGTCTAAAAACATAGACTCAAACTCACCAAGAACATTCAACCACCCCATTTTATATTATTTTAAAATTCAATCCTGTGATAAGCAGCCTACCAAAAAGAAAAGTTATTATATTCTGAGATGCTTTAACAAGATTAAGAATGTTAAGAATGAAACCCCCAACAGCCCCTCGTTGGATGCCACTACAAAAATTATTAAAAATTTTTTTTTTTAATTGCACATGTGCCTTTCTTGATACTTCCAAAGTTCCAAGAACTGACCCATTGGATTCCCCCAAGGAATATTTTATTCGCATTGTATCTCCTTTGTAATCAACACTGAGAAATGTCAGTTTGATTAAACACAATTCTGAATGGCTAAGACCACAGTACAATAAATTCTCCAGAGCTGTCTTACAGAACAACTGATTGCTCTCCAGTCTTAATCTCCCAGACTCTTACTTAATGAAAATGATGTTGCTAATTAAGGATTAAAACTCAGAATAGAGTAAAAATGAAGGACTTTTTTTTCCTTCCTCTCTTCTCTTGTGGGCAGGTCAAGGAAGCAGAATCTGCTCTAAGGAGCTAAAGAATCTCATCCACCTTTGGTAAAGCTGCTTTATTCACCGAAGTTTGGACTTAATTCAAAACTCTTTGATATTAACTTAATTGGAGGAAAAAGAATAGCCAGGAATGCCATCCCCAAAGGAGGAAAGAACTGATTTACCAAGATCTTCACTGATTCTTCTGCACTGCATTGTTAATATGCAAATGAGCTCAGTTATTATTTTAATAACCATGCATGTGCAGGGAAAGGAGAGAAAGGGGGTTAATTTAGGGCTTATTTCACCCTGCCTTCTTTGATACTCACTCCACAGTCCGACCAGAAAGTACAAGTGAATGTATACAACACTGTATAGCGCTACAGAAGTGGTAAATATAGGCAAACATATAATAAAAAATTACCTCTCTGAAGCAGAGAAATATTTCATATGAAAAAATGTTAAATTTTAAGAACCATTTGAGAACCAAATTTTCCTCAAAGATTTCTTAAGAAAATTTAAATATTCAAACCAGAACACAAATGTGAAGTGATTTATCTGGTGGCAAAACTTCACAGCAACAGAATTGAAACAATACAGCAGATCCCTACCACTGAGATTAGCAGTTCCAGACTACTAGCAATCCCTAGTTCCAACAAACCAGCAGACAACTACCATTGCCTGTCATTGCTAAAAATTTACTCTGATGTAAATTCTAATATCTCATTGAATTTTGACACAGTTAGGGAGTAACAGCAAAATATCCTAAAGGGATAGCCAGGTTAAAGGTAGAAAATCAAATGTTGTTTTAACAGCAATTAGGCTGTCAAGTCTTTGAGCATTTGGGAAAATCGGTTCATCCTTATTCTGTCTGAAGATTTCTGTAGGAGGCTAAGCTACACAATGATTTATTGGCCCTAGGAAAACTAAAAAAAATAGGAAAAGTTTTACAGAAGTTCTTGGAAATTCTTCCAAATCTAAATGTTTTGCAGTTCAAACATGAAACACACCATCTATAAAATCTGCCTTGTAAGTCAGAAGTGAATTTCAAGGCATTGCTCTATGATCCCCCAAAGATATGTAGCCAACAATTTACCAACCAGTTGAAAAAAGAAAGAAGTTCCTTTGGTCCACAGTCCTCAAGGCTGTATGCACTTAATGGACAAACTATAGCCCTTATGCCTCCTATTCCCAGACTAGCGATGAGTAGTGCAAAGTAGAATACTATTTTTTGCTCCCTTTTGGTCAGTGTATGAAGAATATGTCTTCTGTCAATATAAACATCTTCAAAGGGGAATGCCACAACAGGTAATAGTGCTGTGCCTGGAATTGGAAAGAAAATTGTCATTTGAAACGGATTGCAATTTTAAAGCAGTTATTTTGAAAAGACAGATGATAAATAAAAAACACATAATAAAGAAATGCAAAGAGGAAGAGACTTCATTCTGACAATATTCTGGATGTCAATATACACAGTCAGGCAAGACCACTAAGGGCCTCCAAGAAAGCAATCTTCCTCTGAAATGTCTGTATTCAGGTATTCAGTATTCAGGTTCTTTGATCAACTGAAGATCTCACCCTGGAAACTTAGCTCCCTTCATTGGCCTTCTCCATTGCCTGCATATTGAGGGCAGTAGTTCTCCACATGCCAGGGGGCACAAGTTAAAACATGTAACTTCACCTGACAGAACACTGATCAAATAAAAAAAACAAACAACCCACCAAACAACCCACCCCATGGTGATGTGTAGCCTTTTTTGCATCTTCTTTAAAACCCAGAATTGAAATGGGAATCATAATTTAACAAATAAATTCTCTAAACTTTTGAGGAAAGTTTTCTCTTTTTTTTTGCTGCAGCTTCATGGGAAATAGATGATTTTCAGAAACTTTATCTATAGAAGCAGTGCCATGAACTGCATTTACCACCTCTAGTCTGCAAAGCAACTCTTTCACACTTAATCAGCTAGAAATTCTCCAAGTTGTAATTGGAGACTAATCTCAAAATATATTGATGTGTCAACACCACCAACACTAGGAATGACCAAGACTATGACTGTGCAACTCCCTCCCCAAAAAAATTCTGGTTAAAGCAATACCCAGAGAAATAAAATTCTGTTTGTGTCACCAAACTTCTTCTTTAAGATATGCATTGGAGGGACAAGCGGCAAAAGGAGGTTATGAACCAGAAGCCCATGGGAGAAACAGTGGAACATGATAGCAATCATTTTTCCAGGTTGCTTGCACAATGGTTTGGCAATCAGCTCAAGAACATTACAGGAATTGCTCTGATTCTTTCCTTCCTTTGTTGCATGTCTAAACAACAACATGGCTGGCTATTGCAGAAATCAGACTTGCTTATGCTCAACTAGTCTGAGTAAAAAGTATTTCTGTTAGCTTGGTTGAAGTTGACAGAATAACCACCAGTTGTGAGATGCACCAATTGCTACAGAGCAGACTTACTAAAGAACAGAGCTTTTACGTAAAAGATCTCCAAAATAACACGTAGGAAAGATTCAGACTGTGCTAACAGAAAGCAGACTCTCAATACAGACATAGGGATACACCCTCTGTCCTTCAGACTGTTTGTACTGGTATGTGCTTAAATACATCTTCCCAAGTTGTCCAAACACAACTTCATGTACCTTAACATACAATAAAATCTTACTCCTAACAGCTAGGAAGGACTTTCCAAACTCTCAAGACTATCTCTCTGACTCAAGCCTTGCATTTGCACCAACCACTAATAACCTTAGATACTTGGTAAAGGGGACAAATGTTAAGAGTTAAGTGCTTGTGCTCTGAATAGCTAAGCCTCTTTAAAGGAGTCAGGTTTGTGCACTAACTATCCGCAAGATACACATGCAAATGTACCTCAGTCTTATTCAAAGCACTGCCTCACAAAAGTACATAGGCGAAAATACTGCACTGCAGTTCATAGAGGAGAAAACAAGTAACTAGTTGTGAGAGCAAATGGCCACAAGGTTGGAGAAAGCTATCAGATTTCAAACACAATGCTCAATAAAGCATTTCTGCAACAGAATTGCTAAAAGATGAAATAGTCCCCAGGGTGTCACCTACCTAAGAAGTGTAGAAACATGCAGATGCACACAAGTTTGATCCTCCCGACAAGGCACTCGGCAAGCCACCCAACCAGGACTGGCGTCAACATGGAGGTGCCTACAAAGCACATATTGACAATAGCTGCCTGGTAGTTGCGATAGCCAAGTTTAACAGTGCAGAAGAGGATCATGTTGCAGACAATGCCAAAGAATGTGAATCTTTCACACAGTTCCACCAGCAGCACACAAATAGCCTCTTGGAGTTTCTTCTGAGGTTGAGACAGGTTTCCAGCACGGTTGCTTCCTCCAGGTAATGGTTGCTGTTCCTTGTCAGCCGTGTGGTTCAAAAGTTGCTTCTCTTGCATATCCCTTCTGTCTGCATCAAGCATTCTTGTCTTTTTTGAGTAAAACTGTGTAGAGCAGCCTAAGTTACAGGTATACTGTTCTCCTCTGCTGTAATTAGCAAACGGGTAAGACTCTCCCTTTGAATTCCACACTTCACTACTACAATTTCTTAAGACCTCTGTCACTTTTGTGACATTACTTGTAGGATCAAAGAGTATTAAAAAAAGTAAAATATAAGAACTCTGTCAGCATTTCACTGAGTTTAATGACACTCAAAAATTCAATCAGTTTATTTAATTAGTCCATTTGGGGGTAAACAAGATTTTTCCCCAGAGTTACATTACCTATTAAATTATGTGAAACCAATACTGTATGTGCAACTCTTATCTGTATGTTAAAGATAAAGGTTTAAATACCCATGAAAGCTAACATTTTCAGCAAAATTCAAATAACAGATCAAGGGAATAATTTGCTTATAATAGTCTGATACTTTAATTAGGCAACAAGTGAAAAACTACAAGCAAGATAGGGAAGGATTTATTTATTATTATTTTTTTAAGGTTAGCATCTAATCACTATTATATTTCTTATTTTTGTTGAATTTCAGATAAAGTCAATTATAAAAATAAGTAATGTTACTACATTTAAGTTGGAAAAACAAATTTTAAAAGAAAATTAACAAGAAAAAAAAAAAAAAGCAATCTAAACCAGAACCATTCCTTTAGCCAGATATTGCACCATAGCTACAACGCATCATAAGGGTCAAGAGCACAGATGATGTGTTCTCTCATATCAACCAGAAGTAATTACAAGCTTGAAACAAAATTAGGAAGAACCCAACTTACAGTGCTTTATAATGCTCCTGCCACCTTATCCACAGAGAAGTTTGCTGATTTCCCTGATCAGGTCCTCCATTTTGTGGAGCTCATTAAGATCACTAACACCTGTTCAAAATACTTCCAACTAAGAATGAGAAGCATTCTGCATTTATTTTTCACAAGTGTAAATGCATACACATGTTACAAGGCAGTGGTAAATCAGATCTGCTTCTTTAAATAGACCTCTCAGTGCTTATGAGAGCATTTTTTGAGGCATAGGCTCTGTTGTTTATTTCCATATAATTACTCAAATTCTACCTCTTTGGATCTATTTAGTAGTGAGAACTCCTACGTCGCAAAACAGATGCACAATGGTGTATAACCAGTATGGATAAAGATAGATTCCAAGATTACATCCCTTCCTCACCCACCCCTGCTGAAGAAAAAAAAAGCAACTGTGATTCAAACACAAAGCCTATAGTCTCTGAAATTAAATCTAAGTAGCAACAGATTACTTCCCAAAATAATTCTAAAATAGATATTTTTTATTTTATTCTGCTTTAGACTAGCACAGCAAAAAACTAATAGTTTTCAGAGAAGGCCAGTTGGGTATGCAAATGGCTGTGACTTGTAGCATGCCAAGAACTACTCCTGTCTTCTGATCTGCAGCAGCTAAGAAGATTTTCATCTGGATGAACCAACCAGAGAAATCCAAACTACAAATCACTTTTAACTCAATTTAGCTTCTCCATCAAAGCCTAATGAAGCCAATCCCAAATCATAACAGGACAGACAATAGTATTTCAACTAAAAGGCATATAAATCTTCTGTTGTTTGAAGCATCTCTAACTGTTCATGAGGAAAATGATCATTTGTGTTTTTTAAGGAAATACAACTGTATTTTAGCATCAGATAGAAAACATCAGGATACATACGCTCTTGCTCCTCTAGCCATTTCAATGTAAAATAGTCTGGTGCAAAATAGAGTGCAAAGTTTATCTGTTTTCATGGATGCTCTCAAATCAAAGTGAATCATATCATGGCAACAGGTAAAGACACCAGGGTTACTAGCTGGGAGGGCTATCTCTTAGACCTCATGTGCTTTCATTTACCCTAATTTTGGGTTACAAGCTAGGGAAAAGGAATAATTGACTTACAAATGCCATAGAAAGTAGGAGGAGGGCTTTTGAATTGCCTTTCCAGATGACTAATATGGGTGTGGTGGTTATGATAGTCACAGATCACAATCAGTGTGTGAGTTAACATGCTCAATGCTAAGAGGATATACAACTTCATATGATCCTTATTGATTTGTTTTTAATCACTTTGCAGCAATTCTAGGTGGTCTATCTAGTTACATGATGTGGTTTTATATGAATTCTAGTTTAATCACCCAGCATTCATTTGCCCTATTCTTAATACACAAGGTAGTAAGATTGCATAATGCCTGAGGAAAAACTTTATTATTTGTACTAACATATGTAGAGCTTTATATATACTGAAGCAGCTACAAACTAGCTGCACTAAATAATGGCTATTTCAAAATCCTGTCCTTCTGGCAGTACCTCTGAATGCCAGTAAGGACTTTGTGTATTTTTTGAAAACAAATCTTTAAAGGATAGCTTTCAAAATGGGACAGTCAGATCTTGAAGAGAGATTCACAAAAATACTTGCTATCACAGGACAGTGTGAGCTCACTAGAGGTCTGGCTATTAACAAATGACTTGCTATTTGGTGCCCTGTCACCCAAGGCAGAAGATTACTTCTACACATGCTGGAACTCTTAATTTGCATTAGGCAAGTCGATTAAATTGGACCATTTGGAACAGAAATTTTCTCCTAATATTCTCTGACAAGTGATAGTGGTCAGGTTTTTTATTATGGTGGTAGTTTATTGAAATTGAAGAGTGTCCAGCACACCAGTTCCTCTGGTTAAAAGCTAGTAGTGGCTCTACACCTCTGGTCATGTTCTGGAAGGGTCAGTCTCTCTAATGTTTTTGTAAATTTAACTCAGTTTTACTCTTTTTACTCTTACTACTCTTTGAAAGAATATGTGAGAGGCGTTACTCTTCTTCATAGCAGCAGCTGTGGTTCCTGCTAAATAGCTGGGGCAAAAGCATAATTGACATGGACAAGACTGACAATCCAACACAATTTTTACACTGTAAATAAAAAATTTCATGGGTCATATATTTCTAGTTAGCACCAGGACTTCCATTAACTTACATGGGTTGAGAAGTCGGCTCAGTGACCACTGACCTGAGGACTGCAGTTTTAAAGTCAGAAGAAAGGCAGAGCAAAACAGCTCTGGGTGTTTGCCAAACAGGGGCAAACATGCCTGGGGTTTGCTGCATGATGCTGTAAAAGCAGGTCCAGGGGGGTGGGTTGAGCAGGCAGCCACAGTAAAGAAATATAGCTCAAAGCTGGATGGCAGAAAAGGAAAAAGCAAGAAAATGCTGCAAAGACAAGTCTGGAAGAATGCTTCTGTCCCTAAATGTCTTGCTGCAGCTCCAGGTGACTAATTAGAAGAGTTACAAGGCTAGGGCCAGAAAAAGGAGATGTGGTAAAAGCACAGGCTAAGACTAGACTTCATGCTTTTCAAAATCACAACTTTAATTTACTTCTCTTATGCATATGAGAAATGTTCAATTTAACACAAAATAGCAGATACCAAGCTAAGTTTGATCCCTGCAGGATGCCCTTCAGCAAGGGCAGCTTACCACTGCTTTCTGCAAGTACTGCTCATGCCTGCATTTATCTAGCACAACGCGTAGCCTGAGGGAAAGGGTCAGACACTGGCATTAGGCATATTCTTCTCTCTTTTTTTTGCCTTCCTTGCAGTTATATCTATTCAGCAGAAAAAATCAACAAATGCAAATTACCAGTCTTTAGAGGCATGAAAAATATGTACTAGAAGCTGTGGTCTTGTACAGGTTGGAGATGACCTGTCACTTGTGCATGTGCTTCACAGAACTTCAAAATAGCTCTAAGGACAGAGTTTAATTGTAGAACAGGTAAAGGTTCATATTAAAAAAAAAAAAGAAAAGATTTAGCTTCTAGTAAAATCTTTGTCTTTTTCTGTCATTTTCGGGTTTTGTTTTTTTTTTTCTTCTTTTCTTCATCTGTAGGTATCACTTCTGACAATGTGTTATTTCCTGAGTCCTATAATGAAACTTCTTCTATTTAAAATTTTACCTCCGACAACATTTTAGTGATTTTTGCACTACCTGTCACTGCAATCTCAGGGGTCTCTGGCTGCTGTGCAGACAGCCTTGAATCAGAGCTGGGACAGAATATGACAGTGCTGCTTTTGCAGTTCACGGCATTTGCAACCTGTATCTGATGCTTCTGCAGAACTTTAGTAAAAGTGCTAATATTTGTCTAACACATACAGAAGAACAAATACATGCAAAACTTAAGTTCTCTGTGAATCACGTAAAAGGTCAATTAAGAAACTGAAAGGTAGTCATTGGGAGGTTGAGAAAACTTTTTTTGTAGAATCTATTACATTAGCATATCTACTTAAATAAAATTGTACTACATTCTATAAAGATCTACTAGATGCTACAAAAGTACATTTGAAGACTGAAAAAGAACATTTACAAAATAAACAGTTATTAAAAATACTGATTATATGAGGAATCCTCTGGGAAGTTCTGGGACTGTATTGCCACATCATGTTTGAATAATTCTATCCTCTCTTTAGCAAGTATTCTTTCAAAACCTTCCACACTTTAGCTAGATGTAAGTGGGAACCTTACCCCAGTTCTACCTTGCAGCAGGATACATGTAATCTGTCTTGTTCTATGACAACATTTACCTGTGAAAGTGCAGGACCAGGGTAAGACTTTTAACTTAGGGGAAAAATTGTGTTTTAGGAAGTATATTTGGGTTTTGTTTGTTGTGTATTCATAGTTAAAAATTACGTGAGAAAGCCATTTTCTTCTTCACTCTACCAAGAAAGGGAATCAAATCCCTCTATCAAAAATGCCCAAGAAGTCCCAGTGGAAAGTGCAGGCAGGACCTCTTCTACAAAAAAACTTTCTTTTCTCTGCTTCTCCTACAGAAAACTGCTGTAGCCATTTCTCTCAGAGTCCTACTTTTTTACCAGTGTAATATTTTTCTCTCTTTCCACTATTTAAACAGGGAGTGTGGCTAAAGCACAGAACTGACAGGAAGCAAAACTTCTACAGCTTTTCTACAGTACCTAAGCAAGTGCAAGTAGAAGTACAAGACATGGATGTACTGGAGTGAGTCCAATGAATAGCTGTGAAGATTATGAGGGGACTGAAGCACCTCATATGGCAGAGGCTGAGAGACCTGGGACTGTTCAGCCTGCAGAAGAGAGGCATCAGGAGGATCCTATTAGTATACATAAAAACCTCAGAGAAGGGTGCAAAGAGGACAGAGAGAGAGTCTTTTTTCAGTGGTGCCCAG